AACTCAAAAAAAGACAAAAAATATAGTGCCCAACCTGCATTTAAGTCGATAAAATTAGGATGTTTATCACATTGAAATACCAGAGTAGGTTGGCTAATTCTTATTAGTTATATAATTGACTGTAAATGTTTCATTAATTTAGATTGACTTAGGCAAAGCCAATTCAGAATAGGAAGCCAATATAATCCACTTAAGTAATTTTGTTTTCTTAGTCTTCTTGAACCCTGAGGGTAATGATACCATCTGCAGGGCAGAGATATTAGTAATTGTGATACTGAAAAGGAGGATGGGGAAGTCTGGATGAAATAGATGCTTTGTCATTTTTTTGGAAATGGTTTTGAATACTTGATACTTTTTTGGATTGATTTTTTTCTTCAATGCTTAAAAGGAAATGTTACCAAATTATGTACGTTATTCTAACATGGTATAAAATATCTGAGAAGTTCATCTTACATATTTAATTCCATTCTGGCTCATGGGTTTTTATGTGACTTTATAAGCATTGTTAATATTCATAGATTAGTTTTAAAATCAGCCAATCTGAGCTTAATTTTGTTTCTACTTAAAAAACCAAATGCATTTTTAAATGAGTTAAAATTCGAATAAATTTTCATTCTCTTGACGTCTAGAGCTGATGAATAAAGGTTGTTTTGTATGTTTCCTTTTAGGGAAGTGGCTTAGGGTTAGGTTAACCTCTTATGACAATATAACATTTGTAATTTAAGTTACTGACACTTGTAGGTTTTGGAGAAGAAGCTGACCGGGAAGAAAAGGAAATGAATCTTGATAAGATGGCAGTTTTTACTGGGTGAATTGGAGAATTGAGATCTGTATAGAATAAGATTTCCTTGTGTACATCTAGGAAAACTTCCTGGTATAGTTGTACTATCTTTAAAATGCTCATAACTATGTTTATTGACCTGTTCTGTCAGTTTTCTGCGTGTTACATGGAAGTTTTCTTCTTTTATTCCTATATACCCTTACATATATGTCTATTCCAGAAACAGTGTTCCTATTGTCATCCAGGTAGGAGCACTCAAACTATATAATGACGTGCATCTAGCTATCTTTGTTATTTTGTGTATAAAATGATTTCTCATTTTGTTAATAGTAATTATGGGCTATTTTGCTTTGCTTTCTTAATAGGCTAAAAGTCTACATTTCCCACACAGAGCTTACATATGATACTAATACTCTCTTAAATATAGAATTCCTGTAAAAGGGAAAACTAAATATGTTTTGAGACCTTAAAAAAGACATGTTTATCTCAGCCTGTAATAAGTTGCTTGTGATGATAATTGCAGAGTAGTAATCCCAAAGAGCCTTTGAGGTATAGTGATGAGGCTCGGATGGAGGATGGCCCTGACTCCGGCAGCCACGAACCAGCTTCCCAGTCTTGGGGCCTGCTGGATGGGCAGCCATGGGGAGGAGGGAGGAGAGCTTCCTGGATTCCCTGCGGAGAGCGGAGCATGTGGGCTTTATGTTCATTTTTAAAAAACTATATAAATATATACATGATACCTACACATAATATATGTACATACTATAACATTTTAGAGGCTTAAAGAAGCCCGAGCTATCTAGGGTTTGCTTCTTCATCTTTCATCTTAACAAATATCTGTTGCTCCATTTATCCTCGTAGCTTTCCACTTAGCTAATGAGAGCATGTCTGTATTTGTTGTTGGCAAGGCACTGTCTTCAATGTGTTTCTTTCCTTTAAGGGGGTTAATAATTTAATTGTGGAGATAAAATATGTGTTATATTCAAAATACAAAGCAGTAAAGGATCAAATGGGTGTTATTTACAAATTCAAAGGAATTTTTAGAAGTGGAAAGTTTGGTTTACAGGGTTAGGGAATGTTT